CACCCGTCGTTCTTGCTCAATTGCAGCCAATCGCCGCCGATCCGTCCGTGCAACCCTCTGTTTTGCCATTGCCAGACCAGTAAGCCCCGTCGCCGGCAACCTGTTCCTCTCTCTCTGAATCTCTTCTCAGTTCAAGACCCCCCACCGTTCCGTCCACCGTCGACAATCTTGGAGTATTCACTGCTGTCCACCATTGCAGCTCGGATCGGATAGGCGGGCTAGGAGAAACAGTAGACTAGGAGTACGGATAGGCGGAATCGGCGTGATATGCTGTACCTGAAGTCTTCAGTCCTTACTGCTTGCCGTGCAATTACAAAAAACTATAGTTTTCTCCACTTTAGTTGTATGACCGAGCCTCTACTTGCCGGACTAAACTAGATTTGAACTTGACGGATTCAGTGGTAAGTGGAGTTACCGGAGATTCGCTTGCCAGCCGAGTGATGATGAAGATGTTGATGGCTGTCGGCGCCTAAGCACTCGTGTAAAGTCACCGGAGCGTTGCTAGAGTGGGGTGATGGTCGTGACAGCATGTTGAGCTGGCAGAATGATGATGAAGATGACGTTGAGATTGACGACGTAGGGTGTTGGTGACGGCGGTCTTCATATCAGACAACGTGTGATGATGTATTCTGCCTAGCATGTAGGTCAGACTGTTCTGCCTGAATATCACGACCCAAAAACTTATTACCACGGAAATGAAAAAAAGGTACGATTTTGTTCGTGTCAAATGTTAAAAAAGATTGTATTGCATGATTGTGTCCTCAGTTTCTATGTATGTATGTGAAAGAGTTGTGCCATAATTTTAACTTCTTGATTAATAATTAAAAAATCTAAATAAATAAATAAATAAAACACACACAGACAAGCCCAAAGGAAATAATAATAATAATTAAAAAAAAAGACATGTTCATTGGTTGCATAAAATACCACACCATTCTCTCTCTCAAATCATTGTTTCTTGCTATGAGCATTTTCAGCTCGTGCACCAATGTGGTAATTTTTTACCTTCAAATATACATGTCGTGTCAATATTACTGAAATGTTTTGTTTTGTTTGTCTTTTTTATTTATTATTTCTTATTTTTAACTAACTAACTAACTTTTCCATGTGTGTGTATATATGTATGCCCAGTTTCAAAGTTTGGGCGGGGAGCTCAACTTTGGCCTTGAGTAGGTTTTTTTTTTTTTTTTTTTTTTTTCCTGTTAAATGGGTAAGCAGTAGTTGTTAACAAGCCGAGCACAAGATTCTAGTCGTATCAGTCGAGGAAAAAAATATATATATTTTATATATATATATAAATATATATATATATATTTTTATTTAAATTTATATATATAGGAAGTTGAAGAGTGAGGCAGACAGAGTTATCACTGGAAAAAAAAAAGTTCTGTTTTAGCGGATTAAGATAGGTTTTCACTTTGCATAATTCTAAATATTTTACTAAGTTGTGTAAAAGAAAATGCCTTGTTATCCAAGTGATTGGTTTGCTTCCCGTGTGAGGGAACCATGTTCGACTGTTCAATGAAAAAAAAAGAAGAGGGCTCTAACCACTAATTCCTAACATTCTTGTTATGAAAAAAAAAAAAAAAAAATTCATTTCAACTTATTTTAACTATACAAATTCAATTTAGAGGATCCAGGTCCAACTAATAGAGCCCTACAAGCTCAGCCCTAAACTAACTATATAGTTGGGCCAAGTTTAATGACAATTTAAACAGTATGATATTCTAGAAACTTCTGTTAAGATTGACGGCCAGGATCAAAAACTTTTAATCCTATGACTGGTGGGTAAAGGATCTAGGGTTTCTAGATTTTCATATAAAGAAGCAAAGTAGCTACTTCGGCTACTTTGTGTTTGAGAATTGGAGACTGGTGGTGCTAGAGTGAGGAAATGAGGCGGTCCGAAGAAGAAACCTGTGTCATGCTCCGTTAAAGTTGGTCTGCAGTTTCAGGTTTAGCGGGTCCCAACCTGCGCTCCGGTTTACCTCGCAGCTGTACTTGGAGACCTCGCAGCTGAGGTATTATTAGCTCCCCTCTCTCTCTATATATATACAAACGTGTGTAGATTTTGAGAACCACTTCTGTATATATGTATAGATTTTTATTTTTTTTATTTTTATTTTTTATATGTATAGATTTTCAAGATATATATATAGATTTTTCATTTTTATACTTGATTCTCTCTCTCTCTCTCTAATCATTTAAAAATTTAGTTATTGTTATTAATAAATAAATGAACTAATAAATATGTTGTTATTTATTTAGCATTGAATTGGGTTGTTTTTCTTATTGCCCTAATATTCTGCTGTGACCATAAATATAATATATATATATAGTTTGGGGGAACCACTTTCAAGATTGCTTCTGCGACGCCTATGCCTTTAAATTTTAATAGGTTGAATGAATATATATATATATATATATATATATATATATATATTGGTAAGAAGTGAATGAAAATGCTTGTAAATATATCAGTTATGCTTCCAAAATTTTCAGAAATTCATGACAAGTTTAATTTTTGTCCTTTTAAGATAGGTTTACTTCCTTCCAACGGTGAAGCTAAATGGCATTAGTAGTGTCGGAAAAGAGTAAGTTGTTTTTATGTTTTTTTATTTTTTTATTTTTTATTTTCTGCTGTTTTTATTTATTCAGATTTAACCTTTGATAAATTTATCTAGTTGTTATTAGAGACACAAAATTTTTTATAGTTTTAGAGAGTGTTCTGTAGGAGTTCAATAGTAGAGAAAATGTTTTTGCAATTTACTCTACATTATGATTAGCAATCCTTATAGTTGAAGGGTGTTTTCATGTAATCGTTAACTTATTACTCAATAGCCCAATATTCATGCTGATTTTTTCGATTAATGAAAATCATTAATTCTATAAATCCTAATTTCCTAGATTAACAAATCTGACTAGGTTAGAAAAACTTGGAACAGTTCAATGAATGGCAATATCTCTTATTACTTGGATTGATAATTAGAAATGCAAATTTTATAATCTTTTTACTTAATTATCAGGAACCAGCCAATTAGTATTGTTACTATTTTATAATTGTTTGGTTTGGGGTTTGGCAAGCAAATACTCATATATGATCCTCACCATACATGCATACACCTATATACTAAATACACCACCAAACACAATGTGGTACAACTCTCCACCCACTCACATTACTCTCATCACCTAGAAACATGGCTTCCCTCCCACGTGGCCTGTTTGTTCAAGTATCACTTAGGGAAATGGAAGTTTAAAAACTTTTTGAGGGATTTACAAACATGGATCTTGATTCATGTATAGAGACAAGTTTTATGCAAAAATAATGATGAATCATTTATTTAGAGTTTGAAAACTTACATCAAAAGTTTGAGTAAACTTTAAATCTTTCCTCTAAAGTGAATGTTTTCACTTATTATAGATCTTTTAGCTAGATCCTCTCTCTTATGATCTCTTCCTTCTTGGTAGTGATCTTCCCTTTAGGAATCACCCGTATACCTCTATGAATGACCTTGGAGATTAAGCTTGTGGGAGCCTCCTCTAAATGAGAACACTAACCTTTTTTTGTTTTGATACGTAATAATTGAAATCAAAAGGCGTTCAAGAGGGGAATGCATCCCTTATACAAAAGTGGAACCGGGGTTTAAGGCCTCGAAGAAGCCAAAAAAATAATTAAATCTTCGGGAGAAGAACCGGACTCTCTCTTCACATAACTGAAAAGAGGGCGTATGATGTGAAGTTTCAGAATCACCGTGGACGATTCTTTCCCTTCGAACATTCTACTATTCCTCTCCTTGCAAATACACCACCAGACACTGTGGTACAACTCTCCAATAATCGCGAGCAGCGCTTCTCACACGGCATCCTCTCCAAATATGAATCAAATCCTTAGGATAACGAGGCATAACCCAACGCATACCAAACAAACAAAAGATAAGATTCCAACAATCCCTCGCCATAGGACAATGCATGAGAATGTGAGCAACTGACTCACCATTTTGTTTGCAAAGGCAACACCAGTTAACAAGACAATTGCCCCTTTTCCTTAGATTATCAATCATTAGGATCAACTAACCTTAAAGTTGGAGATTAATTGTTTTTGTTACAATTATTGCAACAAAAACTTTTTCTACTCATTAACATACATGGAGTCCATGTATATATAGTCAAATAATTGTCAAGACAATATTAGTGTTCAATCTCTAAAATTCAAGTGTTATCTCAAATCTAATGGGCTTTTAATATCAAGTTAGGCCATGAGTGAATCCCTTGGGCTTAAATGGTGGAGAATAATTTTAAAATCCATTTTGGGACAATAATTTACTCTTTAAAAGCCTCCTGCAGGTATACAAAAACTTATAGTGAACCTTCATGTATCCCTTTAAGAGTAAATTATTGCCGCAAAGTGGATTTTAAAGTTATTCTCCACCATTTAAAGTTGGTGGCAGACAAAGGGATACAATAATTAATGGCACATAGTGATCATTTAGTTTTTAAATGTTAAAAGCTAAATACATTGGCCTTTTAATTATTTATTTGTTTTTGTCTTTCATTTATTTATTTATTCATGTGAATGATTAAATGCATGATATATATAATTGTTATTTTTATTATTCATGCATTGAATCCATAAAATATTTAAATGACTTGATTTATATTAATTAAATTATGAAAATTAATTAGATTTGATTACTAATTAGTTAGAAAGTACTTAAAGGGAAATAGAAATTAAAGGTCATTTACTAATTATTATTATTCATTATAGTCAAGAAAATAGTAAGCCCAAGGGATTCTCACCCATGGCCCAACTTGGTATTGGAGGCCCATTAGATTTAAGACTGACACTCGAATTTTAGAGATTGAGTACTAATCTTGTCTTGACAATTATTTGATTATATATACATGTAGTCCATGTATGTTAATAAAGAGAACAAGTTTTTGTTGCAATAATTGTAAGACAAGAAAATTTTTACCCTCTCTAGAATTTTAAGGTTAGTGTTCTTATCTAGAGGAGGCTCCTACAAGTTTAATCTCCAAGGTCATTCATAGAGATAAATGGGTGATTCTTAAAGGAAAGATCACTACCAAGGAGTAGTAGATTATAGGAGAAATGATCTACAATAAGTGAGAACATTCACTTTAAGATTTACTCAAATCTTTGATGCAAGTTTTCAAACTCTAAATGATTCATCATCTTATTTTTGCATAAAACTTGTCTCTATACATGAATCAAGATCCATGTTTTGTAACTCCCTTATAAAGTTTTTAAACTTTCATTTCCCTAACAATTTAACTTAGTACTCAAAGCCCCAAGTTCATGCTGATTTTTCCGATTAATGATAATTTTTAATTCTATAAATCCTAATTTCCTAGATTAACAAATCTGACTAGGTTAGAAAAACTTTGGCACAGTTCAATGAATGGCAAGATCTCTTATTGCTAAGATTGATAATTAGGAATGCAAATTATATAATCTTTTTACTTAATTATGAGGAACCAGCCAGTTAGTATTGTTACTATTGTATAATTGTTCTGTTTTGGGTTTGGCAAACAAAATACTCATAGATGATCCTCACCATACTTGCATACGCCTATACATACAAGTATGTATATCCCCATGCATACATACATATATTATGCAAATATAAAATACACATACTTGTGCTCTGCTCAGTCACATACAATATATATAAAATCCAAAATCCTCCTCCTACTTCACTCACCCACTCACATTACTCTCATCACCTACATGGCTTCCCTCCCACATGGCATGTTTGTCCATGTATCACTAACCAGCTCTAAAACACACACATAATATGTCGTATATATGTATATGGGTATTGAAACTTACAGATTTTCTTCCTTGGCTGCACGGGAGGAGGGTGGTCTGTTTTTCCTTCACCCGGCCGCCATTATTAAAGATTATGGCCATCACTATTCAAAATCTATGTTTGAAAAATCTTGAAGTTGAAGTTCGTCCATTACAAATCCATCATTGCATCCTCCGACTAAAACAATTATTGAATTATTGTGGAGGAAGCACATCCATAAAGTATGACGGTAACAGTCCTATTCTTAGGAGTGACCTGAGTATTGACATGAGCAATGTTAACATGTTCTACAAGTTTGGCCATCACAAATCTGCACTTCCAACTAAAGCAATTATTGAATTATTGTTGAGGAAACACATCCATAAAGTAGGACAGTGATTCAGGAGTGATCCAAGCATTGACCGGAGCTACTCGTTCGGTGATTCAGTCACATTCTCGGGAGTCACCCGACCCGAGTATTGACGGGAGCTACTAGTGATGAAGTTGTTCGACAGTGGTTATCTCCACTTCGAGGCAGATGCGGAGGACATCAATGTTCTCCCTTTCCCGTTGTTGATGGTAATCTGACGTACTTCGAGGCAAATGAATTTGTTCAATTTGATGAATTTTTAAGAATAAAATGCTACTATACAAATAGTGAATGAGATTCAAAGAATTTCCAAATAAGCGTTGGATTTAATCATACGACTTATTATTCTAGTGGGTATTGTATGCTGTTTTTTCATTTCGTTTCTTGTTTTCTTTCAATATCTTCAAAGTTTTTGTTGACGGATCAAAATGTATGTCTTGCATGTTTGCCTTTTGCACCAGCATATTGGGGGTTTCATTTGGACATTACACCGCTGTGGAGATGATACACCACCGTCATAGGGCTTTGCACAATTGGATCTTCAAATCAAGGTTAAATCGAATAGAGAGATCAAAGGGAGAGGTGAATAATTTATGTACATATGCATATGATATAAACACAAAATGACGGAGTTTTGTACCCTGGTAAAGGGTATTTTTGTAAATGGCAAGATAAGTATTTTTATTTTTTAATTGATTTGGTATATCATAAGGGTATTTTCGTCCTTTTAATACAGAGTTGGTGTAATGTGATCAAATTTTATAGTGTTGGGGGTTTTCTAAAATAGTTTGGAGGTATTTGATGCAAAAGTTGATAGTGTTGGGATTTCGTGAAATTACCTAAATAATAATAATAATAAAATACTTATATGCACAAAAATTATTAAGGCTATTTGGGGATTTTTATAAATGAAAAAAAAAAAATTGGTTAAATAGATGATCAAGAGAAAATTTATAAAAAAATTTAAATAGTAAAAAGAAACACAAGCCCAAAGAAAGCCTGCATTTTGATAAGTGAATAGAAAGATTCTGGCAAAAAGTAAAGAATGTTGATTTCCTTCCACATTTGGATACCCACATTACCCTTCACAAATGGACGGATATAATTTGATAAGAAAATATAAATTCTGTTATTCACACAAGACTATTGCACAATTTGAGAAGATTGAACTCTAGATATATTTTTTTTATTATTAATTTTGTTAATTGATAAGAAAACATAAATTCTATTGCACAATTTGACACACATACACGTATAATTATATATATATATATATATTTGATATTGAGAAGAACTTGTCCTTCGTAACATGAAACGGCTATTTACGAAGAGGTTCTGAGCTCATCTTTTATGCGAACATATGGTATGTGTGCTATCTTATGCCAATCCTCCCCCGTTCCCTTCTCGCATCTTCTTTTAAGTTGGTCACCACATTCCGAAATTACCAAAGTTGTGAGATTGGTTAGGCTTTGAATGGTATCTGAAAGTGACCCAACCTTAGGGCAACGCCAAATACTCAATTTTTGAATAGATGCAAGATTTCCCAACCACTCAGGTAACGATTTCAACTCTTTATTATTGATGATGTGTAGAGATTGCAGTGCAGGGAGATGCTGTAAGGCTTCCGGCAAATCTTCCAAGTTCAAATTGTCGGAAAATACCAGACGTCTAAGGGAATGGAGGTGTTTACAATTAATACAATCCTCCGGTGGAGAAACGAGCTTTGGACATCCCTCAACAGTTGAAGCGTCAAGGGCTTGGAAGGACTGCTTTGCCTCGGACCAGGATTCATTAATTCCACGGAAACCAAAAGATAGGAGACGTTGTAGTCCTTGCTCTGCGTCGCGACATCCATAGATATGCAGTGAGTTCAGAGCAGTGAGGTTCTGTAGCGACCCTTCCAGGTAGGAGAGTTGCTGATGATTCCTCTGAATCTCAAGAATGCTAAGACGAGGAAGATTTGAGATTGAATTTAATAAGACATCACTGCATCCCCATGCACGTAAATGATTGAGTGACAAAAGGCATGGCAATGTCAGTTGAGGGCAATCTTTAATGTCCAAAAAGGAAAGACGAGGGAATAATACAACATCTTTTTCTTCCTCTCTTGACAACCTTTCCAAACTTGACAATCCATAAATATCAAGCCTCTCCAGAGAAGGGAATTTCATTCCAGCTGCTCCACCGTGGCCAGAATCATCATTGTCTATGTACTTCACATCTTTCATCCACCCTATTGTCAGTTCTTTTAGGAAACGCAATCGACCAAATGATGGAAGATTTTGACAATTCTTACAACCAAAGAGTTTAACACTCACTAAATTTTCAAGCACTGGTTCCCTCATCCAAAGTGGGAAAGAGGTACCTGGATAATTGTCTATGATCAATTCTTTAATATTTGGGTGAGGTTCCAGAGCGTCAAGTACCCGTTCAGCATTTTCTGCCAATGACGACTCTGATTCAACTTCAAAGGTCCAATACAAAAACAAGCTGTAGATGTTCTGTTTTTCGATTAAATTGGCTTCTCTAGCATCCATCCAATTCTCCACCCTCTCCAGACATTTAATCAGTAATATTCCTCCAATGTTTAAGCCTCGCAATTCACCCAAATGACAACCAGTCCTCCCATCCACAATGAAACGACTTAATGTCTTGAGACTGGTTAATTGCCCAATTTTCGGAGCTGTTTGTGTTAGACAAAAACAGCCTTTCAAAAATAGATGTCGGAGATTGGTCAAGCGTCTCATGTACTTGGGTAACCTCTCAAGACTCCCACAATATTCGAGGTTTAAGGTCTGCAAATTCAGCAAGTTACATATTGTGTCGGGGAGTGTAATAAAGTCATTCTTGGAAAGGTTCAAGTACCTTAAATGGATTAAATTTCCAATTGAAGATGGTAGCTCACTTATACAAGTTTCACTTGCATCCAAAACTCGTAAGGTATTAAATTTCATGACGTTAAGAGAAAACACATTCACAAATAATGTTCTTAAGGATTCTACATTTTCTAATACTTTGGAGTCATGAACGGATATTAGGTGACGAGTACTCCTATTTGGCATATGCTCTGGCCTTTCAACCTTCATCACGTGGCATTCATCTTCCATAATAGATTGAGCAAGATCATGAACAAGATCATGCATCTTGAAACTTTCAATATTGCCAAATCTATCATTCTCCACCTCTTGGAAAAAAGATCTCCAATGCAATTCATTCCATATCTCATTACCAATATCTTCCGGAGTTCCATTAGAGAAAATGCAGCCAGTCGCCATCCATAAATGAATTACACGATCCCTCTCGATTCTAGAATCCTTTTCAAAGATGGCACAATAAGCAAAACACTGCCTACACTCCAATGGAAGATTATGGTAACTTAATCTTAGTGCGGGCATTATGGGGCACTTTTCATCTTGCGGTAAATTCCAAATTTCGCTATCTTTAACACGAAGCCACCCACTTTTTTCCTTTTTGAAGCGCAATAAGCTTCCTAGAGCCTTTGCAGCTAAAGGCACTCCCCCACACTTTCTCACAATCTCCTTCCCAATCTCCTCAAGATCCGGACGTTCTTCACCCTCGTGTCCAAAGGCTCGTTGCTTGAACAATGACCAACAATCATCTTCTGTCAAACCCAACAAACGATATGGAGGGAGCGTTCCCATAATTGATGCCACATTTCCAAGACGAGTAGTGATGACAACTGAAGCGCCCCTTGATCCAAATGCTAGTACACATTTTAACTTGTCCCACTTTTCTTGATTATCATTCCACACATCATCTAAAACAAGCAAATATTTTTTTCCATTCAATTTATCTTGAAGCAGTCTATGGAGATTATCTAGCTCCAAGTCTTCGCAAGAATTCCCAGACATTGATGCTAGAATTGATTTTATGACCCTCTTAATTTCAAAATCTTCAGAAACACAAACCCAAATCCTCATCTCAAAATGCTCAACTACCCTCTCATCATTAAACACTAGTTGGGCAAGCGTTGTTTTTCCGAGCCCTCCAATACCAAGTATAGGAAGAACCGAAACATCATGACAATCACTTGCATGCTTCACCAGCACTTCCACAATAATTTCTTTATCATTTGCTCTTCCATACACCTGTGTTTCAGTTACAAAAGAGCTGGTTTCGCGCCATTCAGGAATTCCAGCTCGATTCGGTGAGACAACAGCCACATCCAATCGGAAATTCCTCCGTTCCTCAGCAATTGAATCTAGATTTTCTATAACCTCCTTCATTCTATTCCCAACCTTGTAACGAAACAGGACATTATCGACAGGATAGTAACATGTTAAGAAACAACTGCGTACCTTATGAAGCGATCCAAGATTTTGGCCTTTAGACTCCAATCGGGCAGCTTCGGTTGCACACTCGTCCAAGACGTCATCTATATCATAAGCTGCTTGTTTGAGCTTCCGCAACCAAATTTTGATGGACTTGTCTTGAAGTTGCTTCAGCTCAGCGTCTTCAAGAACTCCCTTGATGGCAGTGAGCGTGATCGAAAGCTTTTTCATCTCCTTGTGAAGACCCCAAAGCAATCCAATCTTCCGTAGGATAAAAGTGTTCAAATTCTCAAGCACAATTAGGAGAAGTGCCTCGGCCATTGTCACTCAAGTATTGCTGGTCAGATCAAAGAGTTGTGTGGTAGTAAATGCTCTCAAAAATGCAAAATAGCTGGAATGGTAAGTTTGGAACTTGGAAAGAAGAAAGTAGCACTAGTATTCTATTTTTCCTATTGAATAAAATGAGCTAGAAAAAGACACTCACCTGTAGAGGACCTAGCTATAGCACCCACCAATCAATATTAGACATGTCATTTCCACGCAATGTATTGATCGATCCAATCACAGCATACGGATGACAAAAAAAAAAAAAAAAAAAAAAAAAAAAAAAAAATTCACAGCATACGAGTGACAAAAAAACAAAAATCACAGCAAACAAGTCCATCTGGGTGATGCTATCACTGCTTAATGCAGTGGCAAAGAAGTTGCCAAGGGAGATCATCATTTGAATGGATATGATAGACTTACTTTATTGAAAGTCTTCCTCCACTCATTTTCCATGGATGTTCTTACTTTAGAAAGCAAAGGGGTCACGGCAGTAGAAGGAATTGAAAGATTGTAGGCCCGCCCTACCTACTAATTTTGAATTTCCGTTATTATTCATTGATGAGCATCACACACTTTCACCATTTTCAATAAAATTTCAGGAAATGACATTGAGACCTACCAGTATCACGACTCAAATTATAATGAATCCATTTGAGAGAGAGAGAGTGTGTGTGTTTGGACGTAAAATTGCTCAAGTCCGGAGTGAGTTTTTTTAGTATTTGAAAACGACAACGTTTGGATCTATTTTTAAAATTGACATGGTAGATTTCTCACCATTGGATTTAATGGCGGAAGGAAGCAGAAATATGGATGAGCCAGATCCTTTTTTTGGGCCCTTATAGAATTAGTAGTTGAGGTTACAATACTTGTAAAGTTACACAATAAACGGGTTTGGATATGGCTTAATTGTATTTAGATCCATAATGAAACATGCCATCTTCTTTACTAGCTAATTTATTTACAACTTGACTAATCTGTTTATCCAAAAATCTCTTATTCATATTAGAAATGCTTGTTTAGATAAACATGTCATTATATTGTCATGTTTCGTGTCGTGTCAAGTTTTAACCCATTTATTAAACAAATTATTTCGTTTCGTCATTTATCAAATAGATTACACAAGTCATCTTACTTGTGTAATAATTGTGCGATGCTCGTGTTTCGTATCAACCCCTACAACGACACTCATGTCCTAACACAACAAGAGCATGCCCCCCAAACACAGGAAGATAAATAAAAAATAATAATAATACAACAGCTTTGATACTCTTACTCTTGGCTCTTGTCACTTGTATGAAGCAATGTGATTAACTCACATGCTGCAAGTCTGGGTGGAAATATATTGTTCATTGTTCCTTCATTGTAATTGAATACAGCTGTTGATTCATGTCAAAAGTATATAAAGAATAAAAATGGTATAAAATCTTCGCTCAGAAATAAATAACAAAAATCCTCAATTCAACCGGAGTTTCAAAAACGAACCAAGTATTCATACTATCCAACAAAAATGGATTCTTCTCTTCTTTCGTCACAGGTAAAACAGAACTCTTCCTTTTCTTTTATTTCTTCCCCGAAGATGTGTAAGCAATATTTATTCTGTTGCCTCAATAGCTGCATCTTTCCATTTCTTTCTTTCTCCTCACTCTTTAACAAACCCTCACCTCTCTCTCTCTCTCTCTATATATATATATATAAGTCTATCTATTTCGTTGGTCCTATACTTGTAGGTCGTTGGATCAGTTTTGGCTCTAAAAACTACCAAATCAGAGGGTTATCGAGCAACAATATGCCTCCTCTCTCCTCAGGTAGTTCATTTCGTTATGCACTTCTTCTTTCTTTAATAGGCGTTTTAAAGTCTATGATGAAATGTTTGATTTTCTGTATTATTTGAAATCAACTTGAGTAATTTCCTTAGCTGTATGGTTCTTCTAATATGCTATATATTCTTATAATTCTGATTAATTTTGTTTTTCTCTCAAATTTTAGGTTTACCCATTGGAAAGCGGAAAAAACCTAATGGGTTGAGTAGTATCGGAAAAAATTTGGTATGTTTTCGGAACTGTTCTTTTGTTAATTTAGGATGCTGCATTGTATTTGTTGTCTTTCTCATGTATTTGAAAATATTTTGAACATCATTTGCATTTATTAATTTGGAGAAATTGAAATCCGGCCCTTGTTCGAAAAACTTTTGAATCAAACTTTTCAATGAGTCTCAACTATAAGGTTTGTTCAGTATCTTGTCCATTCAACCAAAAGTACAAACAGTATAAGCAGACAACGTTGTAGACTAACACGATTATTGATTTCCTATTTAGCTTTATACTTACTGTCTTATTAAGGCTTAAATTAAAGGAAAGGTAATTAAATATGAAATTAAGAGCACAACATTATTAAAGGATTGATTGTTCAAGTTGTTCAGTTTGGGGTCCGTTTGGCAAAGAAATAGTAGCAGTACAATCAGGATTATAATACTGCATAACAGAGCTTTAATGGTTAGAGAGAGAGCTTTAATTGGATGACCCTAAAATGGATTTTCCATTAGGAAATATATGGGCACTACGAAAGTAGTGAAGTACTCGTGTCGAGCACATATTATTCAGACATGAGTATGTTATATGTGTCTGACACTTTTGGTTGGACATTTACTTAAAAATCATATTTAATCATTTTATTTTATTATATTATTATTTTAAAATGTGTTAAATGTCTGTATTGAACACTTTGTTACATAAAAATATTACTTTATTCTAGAAAATAAAATAAAATAATTAAATAAACTGAATATTAACGGTGTCCATATGTCCTATTTAAAGATTTGATATGTTCGACTCATAAATACGTATTCGTACTCAATACACATACCCGAATTTATGTAACACGGTTAAGACCTATTACTCATCACTCATCATTGTCAGCTTGCCATAATGGTTAAGGGGAGAGACCTTTAATCAGTATTATAGTACTGCATATAATGAATAATATATTTAATCGAGTGAGAATTCAGATTTAAATGCACCCAATATTGTGCCGAAAGGGTGTGCACTTTTCAAGGCTCTCTGTTTTCATAAAATTCATTAATTACTCAAAGATTTAGAAAGAATTAACTATAAATTAAGTCTAATAATTATTTTAAGGGTTTTTTTCCTCCTGCAATTTCCTTTCGGTTTATATCATCCATTAAAAGTCTCTCGAAAAGTCTCCCTTTTTGAGGGAACAAATATTAGACCTTTATGCACATATATATAGATATGTGCATTCATATATATATATATATATATATATATATATATATATATATATCCATGCATACATACGTACGTACGTACACTATGCAAGACTTTATGTGACTTTACTCACTCTTCATCCATGCATACATACATACGTACGTACACTATGCAAGACTTTATGTGACTTTACTCACTCTTCATCCATGCATACATACATACGTACGTACGCTATGCAAGACTTTATGTGACTTTACTCACTCTTCTCTCACTCACAGTTTCACTCTATATATATATATATATATATTATGTTGTATATATGTTAATGAGTATCTAAAAAACGCGCTGGTGTTGAGTACTAATTTCAAGTCGTTTTTCAAAGCGGAGACCAGCTACAACATCACTCAAAAGACTCGAAGTCATCGTTCTGAAAATGAAAATGGAGGACATCGATCGGTGTTTTTCTTTTACGTCATCCTCCTTAATGTTATCAAATACTACAAAAAAGGGTATGGCTAGGTACAATAACTGCAACAGACTCAAGAGTTGAGGACTTTATTTCGGTGACTATTAACTTGAACTTTTCTTCTCAACACTCTTTACAGGCCTTTACGATCGGTAGTAAATAGTCAGTTCACCATTCACTTCTTGACACTCAAGGAAAGAGATACAAACAGAATACTAAACTGGATTCAAGTTCCCAAATGTTAATTACTTTTGAGTTTTGTATTTGGCCCTTAATTAGTGCTTTGTCGATTTGAAATATTTTAGGGCTAGGAAGGAAATTCTTAGGACACTAGCTTAACATTTGTTCATTAAGTATTGTATTATGTAATTGATTGTTCAAGTCGTTCAGTTTGAAGCCAGTTTGGGCAGAACTTTATTGGTTAGAGAGAGTTCAAATTGTTTTTCAATTAGGTTCCATTTCAATTAAGAACCCAAGTCACAAAATGTACTTATCCCACTTGATACATTATTATTTTAATTTGTTAAATACTATTTTTGTTGAATTTTTTAATATAATGTATTTAAAAGTAATGAGATAGATATAGTTCTTTATCGGTTTGATTTATAAAAAATAATTAAAATTAGTCAGATTCTCAATAAAAATTAAGAATAAAATTTCTAAAATCTTTATTCAGAAAAAAGAAAAAAAAAAAAAAAAATCTTTAGTGTTGAAGCAACCGGTAAAAATCTTACAATTTCTTTTAAAATTTTCTGAGGCAAATTAATTTGTTTCTCAAAACAATCTCATACATGCTAGCCCCAAGGGTTTGGTGATGGAAGGGTTTGGGTTCTGATATGTCCCAGGTTCGAATCCCAACACGCCCATTATATTCTCTAATTGACCGAGTGCGTGCCTTGGGGTGATTAGGGGAGTTATAAAAAAGAAGAAGAAGAAGAAGAAAAATTCTCATACATGATCGTCTTCATTTGAAATATTTTGTTTTCTTATTTACTATTTATTCAACAAATTTTAAAATTTCAAAATATCATTAAAAAAAAAATTTCCCGTAATTAGATTTTAAATGTTTATTTTTATCTTGATACCTATTAAGCAATATTTACACTTAAAGCATATCACAGTAATAATCAACACCAGCCAATCAATGACAATATTTCTCACAATTTATAGTTCTGTAATTATTTGAACTACTGATTTCATATTAATCTTGTATTAATTAATAGTAATTAAAATGACAATGTTGTTAAATAAGAAGGGAAATCTTTGTAATTATGACAAAATTCAAGAGATTATTACAAAATTTTAAATTTATCCGAACTTATAATATTTTAGATACATTTTAAAGAATATAAATCAAAGCATATTAGTAAAAGAAATTGACACATTAGATTAATGGGAAAATATTTTCAACAATTATTAAACTAGCAATATTCTAGGGATGAAATTACCAGTAAGGACAAAAAATAAAATGTATTTAAAAGAATGGGTAACAATAAAGTGGTGGGACTGACCAAACATATAGTCTAGATGAAAGAAGAACTTTTTTTAAAAAAATTGGATGAGTAACAAAAAAATTTCAAT